CGCGTATCTCTGTGGAGTGTTCTCCGAGGACGTGTCTCCAATTTATAGGATTAACAAATTTACTAGTAATAATACTAAAAGATCAAATGACCATCCTCCACTCACGTATCTCTATGGAGTGTTACCGAGGATAAAACAATGTTCTAAGTTAAAATGTTATGCTTTTAACTGATATAATGTAGGAAAAACATTTGTGAAAATATAAATACAATAATTTATACTGTTTTTCACAAATAATATGATAATGTATTCTGTAGTTTCAAATGGTTACTTATTACGATTGTCAGTGTTAAAAGCATATGTAATATGAAACACAACATATATAAAACAAGTTTTGAGTACAAGTATTACTTGTACTTTGCTTATATTCTCCCCTTGAAAACAGTGAAAACATTGAAAATGAGTAGGGGTATGAACTCACCAGACGAGAAAACGTGACGGTTTGGATGCTAGATGTTGGTTTGGGGCTTGATAATGTGCGAGTTTCCTATGTAATATGAAATGGTATACAAATGTATCTAACTAGACTTTAAATCACTAATTAGATATGATTACACACTCCAAGACACGAAAACACTTCAAATCAAGTGTTTGGAGTGACTCGGGTGACATCTACGGATGTATATGGCTTGGATAATGAGTTTGGACTTCAAGAGTAAACTCCTTAGGGAGTTTACGGCCCTAAGACCATGACCACATGAGTTCACGGCCGTGAACTCATGTATGTGGGTTATTATGGTGCCAAATGGTCAATTAACACATGGTAAGGGTTACTATGATTAAATTCAAGGCATATGTAGCACCTGGTTTCCGGTATGTGAATTTTATTTGAGTATTGCCCAATTTTAGCCTTGGACTCGGCGAGTCACTAGGTCCGACTCGCCGAGTAGGGACGAGACCCAGGACACGTTTAAGTTGGCGACTCGGCGAGTCCATATCCTGGACTCGGCGAGTCACCGCTGTTGGATGAAACCCTAAGTTTCAGGGGTTTGCTCCCTATTTAAACCCCATATCTGCCCCTTGCCAGCCCCCATTCACCCCCCCCCCAGAGCTCCCAACCCTCGTCCTAAGCTTGTTTCTTGTGTAGTTGAGGCTCTTGTGTGCATTCTTGAAGGTTTTGAGGCAAGAAGGGAAGGAGATCAAGAGAAAGGAGAGCCATCCAAGCATCATTGTGTTTTTCAGCTGTATCATTGAGGTATATCTCGTTTTTCCCCTGTTTCTATGCTTAAGATTTCACTTAAGACACTCTTGAGCAATTCCTCAAGCTTGTTTGTGCTTAATGTTTCGTAATAAGTGGATTGGCCTTTAGATCTAGGCAAGATTGAGCTCTAGGAGCTCAGATCTGTTAGCTTTATGGCCCCATGTGGCTTGTTCATCCTAGATCTACCCTTTTGAGGCATTTTGAACCCTAAAATCCATATTAGTGAGTATCCACACGTAAAGTTGGAAACTTTACGTGTGATTTGTGTCCTAGAAGTCCAGATCTATGAATGGCATGGACTGAAATCGAGTAAATCGGTGTATTTGGTGGATGCATGGCGACGACTCGGCGAGTCGTATAGGTGACTCGGCGAGTCTGGTCGCGAGTCACCGAATTGGTCCCTTCATGATGTATCGAGTTGAGCCGTGAGTCACAGGGGGTGACTCGGTGAGTTGGGAGCTGAACTCACCCATGTTAGGACTCGGCGAGTCAATGCCCTGACTCGGCGAGTCCAAGGCAATCTTCATAAGATCAAGAACAGACTCGGCGAGTTGTTCATACAACTCGGCGAGTAGGATGAAGGAGTTGAATGACAGTTTAGAAGATGAACTCGTCGAGTCATAGCCCAACTCGACGAGTAGAATCAGGGACCCAGGACAATAGTTTGCTAGGGACTCGGTGAGTGGAGATCCACTCGGCGAGTCGGGTAAACTAATAGTTGACTTCGATTTGACTTAGGGCTAGACCAGGGGTAAAATGGTCTTTTTACCCAAAGGACAGTTAGCAGTGTATGACTAAGTATATTGTGGGAATTACAGCCGGGGAGTTTCCGGAGCAGCAGCAGCAGTAGTAGGTGATCAATTCCCACACAGACCAGCAACTATTTCGAGGTGAGTTTCCTTTCATTAGTAACGGGTCTAAGGCACCAAGGCCGGCCCGTATAGATGGGACGTTAGTATTATAGTGTGGGCCGAGCCCGTATCTATTAGTCGAGTTGATTGTGATATATACCAGTATGATAGAACTGTTTATAGTTGTTGTCTGTGTGATACTTGTATGATATGTGTTGACGGTTGGGTGTGGGCGAGGCCCGTATCCCTCCGAGAATGGAGTGTGGGCTAGGCCCGTATCTCCCAGGTAGCGAAGTGTGGGCGGGGCCCGTATCTTCACGAGTGTGGGTGGGGCCCGTATCTCTCAGAAAGTGAGGTGTGGGTGGGGCCCGTATCCTCACGAGTGTGGGCGGGGCCCGTATCTCCTAATTGCATGTTATTTGTTATATGCTGTATGGTATGGGGTATTATGGGGGAGCTCACTAAGCTTTGTGCTTACGGTTTCAATTTTGGTTTCAGGTACCTCCTCAGCTAGGGGAAAGGAGCCGGCACGGTAGCAGCATGTCACACACACACTCTTCGGTTTCCGCATTTACGAGATTCACTAGGATTGTACTCTGATATTTGATGGATTGTATGGTTTGAATATTAAAACATGGTTTGCGATGTGTTATGGCTTGATCAAACAATGCTTTTATTTATTAATGTTTTCTAAAAGTAATATTTTAAAATGAAATTTTTGGACATGAAAATTGGGTCGTTACAGCATAGGGATGACTTTTACCACCAAAGGGACCATTAAAGGGAGGTTACGGCCCTAAACTAGGAGTTTACGGTCGTAAGCTCCTATACCCCTCTTATATTGTTGATTTGGTGGCTTTAGATTAATCACATGTGATTCAAACTAATTTTACAAGCCTTAGAATGAAGTTTGGGCCTCATTTGACTTGTGTAGATGAGTTTACGGCCCAGGAACCCTTCTAAGGGGGTTTATGGCCATGAACACTCCAAGGGGTTGTTTTCATCTAGTTTAAGACCCCTAAATCGATTGTGGTTGATTCTAGAATTTATTCCAAGTCCATTAGTGTGTTTAAGTGGCTTTTAAACACTTGGATTTGAGTTTACTCCCCATGAATATGAGTTTACGGCCCAAGCATGTTCTTAGGCAGCAAACTCATGTTTACTCCTCAAAAATAATGTTCAAGGTGTTCTAAGTCCGAATTGGTAAGCCATTTAGTCATATCTAAGTCCCAAAATTGGTTTGGAAGGGTTTAAAGGCTCAAAAACCCCTTAAATGTGTGTTTACGGCTCAAGCATGTTCCAGGGCTGTAAACACATGAAAATGGTCCTAAATGATTGTTTGAACTCGGATTTGAAGGATAATGGTGCTATACTATGAGTCAGGGAAGTTACTTTAAGGATTTGAAGCCTTAAGTCAATGTTTTTTTAGACCTTGAATTTGGATTGAGGAGAGAGGTTAGAGAGAGAGTAGTGAGAGAGAGAAAAAGCTTCAAATGGAAGCTTAATCCTCTTTAAATAGGTTCTAAGTTTTGGACACGGTGGAATTCTACCCGATACCGGCGTTATACGATGCTTTTGGTTGCACCCGATTAAGTTACCGTAACCCGATATGGTCGATTCTAAAATGTTTCCGATTACTAATAAGGAGTGTTAATATGATTTCTAAACATGTTTAGACACTCATTAAGTCATAATAGAAGTCCCACAATTATGACTTAATTTCATGACGTAACGGAAACGAAATCGAAAACGACGAATATATTAATGAAAAGGGTTACAAATAATGGAACGAACTTCGGGTTGTCACACAACCTCTATTTTTTATGTTCTTTATATCCACGCATAGGTAACAATAATATTTACAACTTTCATTTTGACTCGGTCAGCTAATTCTCGACTGATCTTAAATTTAACAGTGTGAGGAGATTATATTGTTAAATGTCCGCGTAAAATTTATAACTTCTACATACGGACTCTGTTTTCGTTGGTCTTTTTACCGTTGAGTTCCTATTAATGAGATCTTCAATTCTCATTTAGGTCGCATAGGCTAAAACCCGCTCGAACTAAAATTCAAGTTTCGGGTCGTGCACTACTATGCCAAATCTTAGAAAATTCATAACTTCCTCATACGAAGTCAGATTTGGGCATTCTTTTTTTTGTGTGTTCTCGAGTTAAGATATACTACAACTTTTATTTGGCTCGATAAGGCTAAAAAGTCTTTTATCAAAAATTTATTATCTTCGTCGCCCGGTGTCGTGCCGGTTTTGCCGTAAAACTTCGACGGGCCATAACTTTTTCGTTATGACTCGGATTTTGGCTTTCTTTATATGTACGGAACCCTTGAGACATATTATAAAACTTGGTTAAGATTATTTATTCTAAATAATCTTTTGTCGAAAAGTCGTTTTCGACCCCTATTATATTTAAACTGACTAGCCCGGATCTACGGGTGTTACAGTTGTCACGTAAAGCACCTAAGAGGAAGAGAGTCAAGAAGATTGCTCGTCGACCATGAACTCCAACACCAAGAGATCATGAGGATTCACAATATTAAACGGTTATAGATGTTACCATTTAAATGGAGGTTCATAATGAATAAGATGTTTCTTCTCAATCGAACATTTCTGAGCTGGCAACTATGAATCCTGAGGTATCGATTGCAATCCCAACTTCAGTTCTCGTTAATGAAGATTTTTTCAAAGATTTTTCTTTACCTTCTTCAACTGCTACTATTTCAACTCCCGTTACAATAGTCCCTTCCCACTAGATTCATTGGGAGTTCCACAGGTGCAAACCCCATTATTCACTGATTCCACCGCTACCACCACTACCTCCACTGTTGATCCTCGAGTTACTATCAATGCATTTGATGTGGGGGAAAGTGCTTCGGATTCATAGCTAGTCATACCACTCCACCTATCTCTCCTTTCTGCCAGGATGATCCATATATGATCTATTGTGGTGATGATGACGACTTTGCAGGATTCACCTACAATTCATTTATCATTAAGACTGAAAGTGATGACGAAGCCCTCGTCACAAGAGGAAAACTCAAGGCGATTCATGAAAATTTAGATTTGTTGCTCCAATCATCCAAAGCTTCATCTGGTGAAGATTATTCACAAGAAACTGGCAAGTCGTTCCTTGAGACTCTTACGAAAGAGCAATCCGCCAACCTTGAAAAGATGAACAAGGTTGTAGATGATTTTGCTTCAGTATGCAACAACATGAATGAAAAAGTCGATAAAATAATTACAGATGCTCAATCGTTCACGGAGAAATTTCAGAGCTCCTTTGAGTCTAACACCGTGAAGGCTAATGAAGTGATTTCTAGCCTGGGCTCAACTCTTAAAACATAGAAAGCAAAACTTGAACAAGTTCGCACTGGTATTCAATCTGACCATACTGAGTTAAATTCTTCCATTTTCTCGAAGATAACAAAGCATCAGGAGGACTTAGCCACTGAGAGCAAAATCATGGATGCTCTGGCTTTAAAGACTGAGAAGTTGAAAGTCTTGACGGTCAAATTAGAGAATGTTGAGAAACGAGTCAATGATTTGTTATCTGAAAAAGATGTTATAAAAAGTTCTATAATAGATGTGAATGCACTACTTTCAGATATCATTGAGACTCGTGACTTGATGATCATGATAATAGTTAAGAAGCATCTCTCTGAAAAACTTCAGCCAGGGTTCTCAATGCTCAATTGATTGGAAGGTATTCCAGAATCAAGCTTAATTCCAAAAAAACAGGGAGAAGAAGTAAAACAATCTAAGAAGGAAAACGCTAAACCTTAAATCAAGCCCCCTGTCAAATCAAAAAGAGAAACTGAGCCAAAAGGAAAATAAAATTTGTTTAGTGAAGAAGCAATAATTGATAACAGTGAAGATGAAAACAAGATGAAAAGAAGAAAAGATCGTGGAGCTCAATGGTTGAGCATCAAAGAATAATTCACAAAGCTGAAGAGAAAGAAAGAGTTGAACGCAACTCTCATGTCATGCTGGAATGTCAAAAGATTTTATTTCCAGTATGGACTCTGAAGCGAATTCAAAGTAAGGTTGTGGATTTGTTGAATCTTTATTTTTTGGAACCGGTTGTGTCATTCGATATTCAGAATACAAAAGATTTGTAGTTGGACCTTCCGATCACTCCGAAAGCCTTCAGATTTCGCAGCTTTGTGAAAGTTGTGAATGTCCTAACAACTGACAGCGATGCTGATCACTAAATTTTCTCATTCTACCTCAAGCAAATGAAGCCACAGTACCATACATAGAGCGCGAGCAAGATTACGGCTGTGAAGGTCACCATTCCAATCGAAATCGACCGCTTCCCAAATGTGAAGCTTAAGGTTGCGAGAGGTTCGTCTAGTCAGATCTACGAATTCACCCTTGCTGATCTGACATGCCTTAACCATTATGACTAGATCGTTCCTTACAACTTGTTGCTGAGGGATGGATAGAAATATGAGCCTGCTATTGCTCACCTCAAGCATATTTTAATTTCATACATCCATGAGGTTAGAAAGATGGACATTGAGATTGCTATTGTGTTGCGAAGGAAACCAAGGGTACTTCCCAAAGAAGCTCCAAAAGGTTTTGAGAAATTGAAGCTTGGGAAGATACAAAAGGATGGATGGTTTGTGGCCTTTCAGATGAAAGAAAGAAATGATGCAGACTTTCATAAGGCTTGCTTCTTGCTTACTGATAAGCATCTGTTCATTTGATTCCTGGAACACATCTTGGACTTCTTCAGCAAGTACAAAGGGAATAGCAAGGGAGACAAGAAGTGATTTTTGGATATGATTCTATGGTATATCCAAGTTCGCAAGGTTCTGCTGAGCGTCATTCCAAAAGTTTTTGAAGTGTAGAAGCGAACCCAACCGTGAAAGATTCTCACCTCAATCGATCCAAAGGGGGAGATTGTTGAGTATTAAGTGTTACGTCTTTTGGGCCTTTTTGTTTAGTCTTTTATGATTCCGAGTTGGGCCTATCCACCCATGATTAATGATTATGGTTTTACTATTTAAGGTGCATGCATGCATCATGTATAAGGTAATCATGTCATTATAAACCCTACATGCCTCTACAGTAGCAGTAACTCATTGAGCTCTCCTGAGGCCGTGATTTATAATCATTCGACACATTCTTGATTCATATTCTGTTTTTGATTGCCTTTACTTGTTTGAATCTAATCGATCTTTAGAGTTTTTAACTCATCAATTTTCAACATAAATTAGCAACTACACCCAACTTTACAACCCTCAATGGAGGATTAGAAAATTCAAATTGCATTTAACATCTATTGATGTGAATTAGATGTTTTGTTTGTGTCTCAAAAATACATAAATTCACGGCCTATGAGTGAAAGGTGAAAGCATATTCACATTTCACAGCCTGGAGCAATGTGTAAAAAGAAAATCTACATGGATAGCCTCATGTGGACCAAACCTAATATTTAGAGTAAATAACACGATTGGTCCCTATGGTTTGGGGTAATTTTCACGCTTGGTCCCTAACTTATTTTTTAACTTGGAAGGTCCCTACGTTTTGTTTTTATTATGCGCTTGGTCCCTACTGTTTGTGTTTGTTACGCGCTTGGTCCCTTTCTATAATATCTCAAGATAAGGTATGTATTGATGACCCTTAGATTTATGGAGTTGTCAAAATTAGCCTTAATTGTGAAATTGGTGGCGAATGAGTACGTGAGGCGTACACATATATACGCTCAGCATTCTCATGTGTGTATTATGGACGCGGAGTCCACCTAGTACGTTGGGCGTACCAGAGGGTATGATGGGTGTACCATAGGGTACGTTGAGTGTACTACGCTTAGAGTGTATAACCTAGTTGTGTTGTGTGTTCCTATTAAAGCAACATGATGGCCTCATTTCTAGCCACCATTTCCAGCCTTCAACTCCACTCAAACCCTAAATCTCGCTCTTATTGCTTGTGTGTACATTTGAGGCTTATTTAGTGATCTTGTGGGACTCTTTTGTGAAGAAGGAGATTTGAAAGAACAAGAGTTAGTGTCCATGAGCTTTTGGATCTGAGTTTCCTTATGGTTGGTGCATCATTCAGAGGTATCAAGCTCAAATCTTTCACATTGTTTTGATTAATTCATGTTTTGGTCCATTTTTAGGGTTTTATGTCTCAAGCTTGAAGCTTTATGAGTTTGATGAACTCCAGAGCATAATGCATGTCCATTTAGGTATTTCTAGTTGTTTGGACTTATAAAAATGAGATGTTGGTCGTCAAGATCTCTCCATGCATGAGATATGAGGCCTTTTGTGAGTAAGGGATGATAGTTTATAAGTTCTAGATTTGTCCAGCCATGTTAATGCTTAAAGTCACCAACTTTGTGAACTAATAGACTTTAGTTAACCCATATATGAGATTGTTGCTATGGTCTTAACGTATTAAGACCAGGAGAGTGAGAAAAGTGAGTATGTGACGTATGCCGAGCGTACTCCTAGCTACGTGCAGCGTAGCTCTGAGCGACCCCCGGTGCATCCATGGGCTGTTGTACGCCCAATGTTGAAGGTTGTATGCCCAACGTAGATGTTGGGTGTTGACATTCGGTGACTTTTAGGGTTTTAGTCAAATTGTGGATTTTGGAGGCCATGGAGGGGTAAAATGGTCTTTTATCCTTATGAGACTAGTAGAGAAGCCTAGCCTAACAACTTTTTGGGTTTGTTAATATCAATTATTATTTAGAGATACATGCGATATTTGTTAGTCAGAGTATAGACCGGCAGTTCGGGTGCGGGATATACTTGCTTTACTTTACGAGGTGAGTCTTCTCACTATACTTACATGAGTGGTAATTATTGGGTGATCGGAGGGTCTTATTTGTGTTATTAACCGGAGGGTCTTATTTGCTTATACCGAGATATGTGATATTAGGCATTCTGTCTTTCTGAATTATGTTGTTATACTACTCTATGCTTATATACTGATTTATGACCGGAGGGTCCATACCGAGCAGTGAGACCAGAGGGTCTTCACCGAAACACAGGACCACAGGGTCCATACCGAGCCGTGAGACCGGAGGTTCTTCTCTGAGACACATGACTGGAGGGTCCTTATCAAGATATAGCAATGAGAGGCTAATTATTTGTGTGTATGGTATTTTGGGGAACTCACTAAGCATTGTGCTTACAGTGTGTGTGTGAAATGTGTTTCAGGTACATCTTAGGATCACGGGAAGGCACCGGCATAATTGTACACACCAGCTTGATGATTTGTGTTCATGAGGATTCTAGGATATTTAACAATTTAATTCTGATGCTTTGTGTTTTAGAGAAATTTAAATTGGCTTGATAAATATTAAACTATGTTAGTTTGGAGTTTTAAATTTCAAAATTTTTCTTGAAAATTTATAGTGTTACACTTTTTTACCTAAAAAGACTATTATTTAAATAGAAAAAATTTATGGGGTTGGTAAGGTGAGGCGGTGGGATTAAGGGTGTGTTTATTTAAATAAACTAAAAATAGGTGCAAAATAGTCTTTTTAGGTAAGACAGAGACCAAACGCATAACAAAAACAAACAATAGGAACCTTCCAAATTAAAAAAATAAGTTTGGGACTAAATACTCAATTTACCCTAAACTGTAGGCACCGTTCGTGTAATTTACTCTAATATTTAAGATGCCAACTAAGGAAAGAAACCAGATAACTCCTTCACATTTAGCGAAATAAATTTTTTGATATCTTTTTCATAGTTGAAGGATAGACTACAACTAAAAAATAATACATGAATAACCTATTAAACAAAAAACAAATAGTGTGTTCGGCTAGAATAATATCACTGCTTATTTTTTCTGTAAATGATTAGATTGTCATTAAAGACACTATTTAAACACTAAAAACCGATTATCGCAACTTATAATCTACTCTAATAAATGAAGTTTTTTTTGTCACATGTCACACTCTCATTCAATTTGTCAAATCTTATTTTGTGATTATTTTGAATTAATTCGCTTTCGACTTGTCATTTTATTAGTTTTTCTATTTTATTAAATTCCATATAATATTTTTAATATGTTAACTACCATAAATGTTAATAAATTTTATTAATAAATTTACCTTTAAATTTCAAAATTTTCAAATTAACATTCATTGTTTTTTTTTTGTTTGTTTATTTAGATTATTTGTTTAAATTTGATAGATAAAAACATTTCAATTATAATAATTAACTTAATGAGAAAAACATGCTCTTTTTTTGGAACGACAGAATATTATTAAAAAGCAAAAACTAGCAAGAATCTAGAAAGAGGTTACAACAAAGAAGTAGCTAAAGAGGGGTTATAAAGCCACTCAGTCCAACTTAAGTTTACCCTACTACATCTATTAGAAATCCAAAAAAAGGATGTCTCAACAACTTCATCAAAAATAACTGACTTCTTGGGTAAAACCGTTCCAAAAATAGAAGTATTACGAAAATTCCATAAACACCAGAAGGAAGTAATAATGACCGCATCAAACGCCTTTCTTTGACCTCTATGCATATTTACATCCACCGACCAGTTGATTAAAGACTGCACCGAGATCTATGATGGGAGAGATAAACCCCATCATATAGCAACCCTACCCCAAATATCTCTAAAGTCACGACACCCGACAAAAATATGATCAATAGTTTCAGTTGCAACCATACAAATTGGGCACATATAGAAGGGACCATAACACCCTAATCGATAATCTCTTCCTCGTTGGAATACTAGAAAGCCGAATCATCCATATTAGAATATTGAGCTTAATAGGAACCTAATTATTCCACTGTGTACCCGTATCCCCCGAAGGAACCAAACCACTATCCAACGCATACTGCACAGACGCAACAGAGAAAGAGTCAGAACTATCAAGAGACCAACCCAGTCTATCTGGGACTTGATGAAGTTGAATACCCTACATCACCTCCAAAAAAGAAAGCCATTGAGTATCTTCACTTCCACCTCTAGGCATACGTCTAAGATCATCCGTGTTTCAACCAACTAAAAAATGATCCCTAACATTGGCTGAGCGGTTCATATCCAAAACTAAAACTCTATGCAAACAAATCGAAAGAGGATTATTGCCTTTCCAATTATCATGCTAACAAGAAGTATAGGAACTAAGTTATGGAAGTCAAAGCCCCGATCTTTGAGATTATCTATAATCCTCATACTACCATTCCGAGGACCCTTTAACTGTCTCATTGGAATCAAAGATTTAGTATTCCTTTCCCAAACAATACATTCTTTTGACCACTCTCACCCATAATAAATTTGGGTTATGAAAATATCTCTACTTCTAACGTAATAATAGAGCCATGTTAAAGGCAAAAAGACTAGCAATCCCCAAACCTCCAACTTCTTTAGGGGCCATAATTTTATCCCACCTAACCCAATGTATACGATGATCATCCAAATCAACAAGCCAAAAAAAACACTTATCTCAATCTTTTCAAATCCTTTATCACTGTAAGAGGCACAAGATAAATGCACATCAAGTAACTAGAAATCGAACCTAAAACTGCTTTAACTAGAGTCATTCGTCCCCAAAAAGAAAGACATTTTGCTTTCCAAATGGCCAATCTTTTTCAGAAAGAATAAAAAATGGGACCTTAGGAATCAACTCTCGCCATATTCTAACCAACAGAACCCCTAAGTGAATAAAAGGAAAAGAGCCCGGAGAACACCCCATACAATTATGAAACTTGATTAGCCGTGACCTCCACTCCATATACCTTACTTTTTAGAATATTTATTTTCAAACCCGATGCCAAAAAGAAACATCTAAGAATCCGAACAATATGGAGAGCATTATCCTGATTCCATTCAGTCAAGAGAACAACCTCATCAGCATAAAGAAGATGGATAATTGTAATTCCTCCAATTTTTATTCCCCTGATTGCATTAGCTACCTGGGCCCTAGTCAGGGCCACATGCAAACCATCCATGACCAACACCAAAAAGAAAAGGGGATAGGGGATCCCCTATCTCAGACCTCTGAACGTATGAAATTCCCGGGAAGGAGAACCATTCACCAGGACCGAGACATTAGCAGAAGACAACATCTCTAAAATCCAATTACACCACAAAGAGCTAAACCCCATAAGTTGCATAACTTATAGAAAGTATTCCCATGATAAAGAATCATAAGATTTTTAAATATACACTTTGTAAAGAAAAAGAGGATTTTTAGAAGCTTTACTCCAAGCTACAGTTTCATTGAGAAGAAACAGACCATCTAAAATATGTCTGCCGGCCTTTTATAAAAGCTGATTGCTCCACACTAACCAGAATTCTAATAACCTCAGCCAATCTATTAGCCAGAAGTTTACCAATAATCTTGTATTGGCATCCAATAAATCTAAGAGGTCTATAATCTCTAACAACCTGCGGGTCTATAATTTTTGGGATCATAGTGAAAAAGGAAGCATTACACCCCTTAGGAATAGAAGAATGCGTATGAAAATGAGACACCAAGTCAAAAATATCATCTTGAACAATATCGCAATACCGTTTTATAAAACCAAAAGTGAAACCATCATGACCTATAGCTTTTGAAGACCCTGAGTCCCACACAGCCTTTTTTATTTCCTCCCGAGTAAATAGAGCATGAAGAAACTGGCTAAGATGAGAAAAGCGGGTATCATCGGTTTGGAGCCGAGTACCAGTCTGTTTAGAAAAAAAGAGTCTGAAAGTGACGACGAAATTCTTCCTTAATCGTATTAGGATCATCAATCCAACACCCATCCTTCAAAACACCTCTAATAGCCATTTGTCTTCTTTTACTATTTATGACCCCCATGAAAAGAAAAACCCGAGTTTTCATCACCTTTAATACCCCCACTAAATTTTAACCTTTTGGGATAACTCCAGATTCGTAACATGATCTAAATCTGGGATGTTCTTAAGAATATTAACTCATTGCTCCCGAAGAGTAGCATCTCCCCCATTAGATATAAGGCGAGAATCAATGGATTCTAACACTTTTTTGAACTCCGTGCGTTTAGAACCCATTTTGAGCCTAGTAGTAGTGTTCCAAATTCAAATGCTAGATTTAAGAAGTTGAAGTTTCTTCTTAAATTTAACCCAAGGATGAGAAACACTAAGTAAATTCTGATATTAGGACCACGAATTTCTGATAACATCATCGAACACCTCTAAATTGAACCAATAATAAAAGATACGGAAAGGAGTTGGACCATAATCAACTCTATGCTCCAATAACATAATAGGTATATGGTTCGGAATGTACTTCTCACAGACCATACTAGTCAAATGAGGAAAAGCATCCAAAATACCATGAGAAATTAAAAATCTATCCAACTTAATAGATTTTGAACCCCACTTATCACTCCACGTAAACCGAGGACCACCAAGAGAAACATCAGATAAACCCGCCTGCTCAATAAAATTGTTGAAGCTTCTAGCTGTATTAGAGTTAAAAAGAGTACCAAATCTTTCTGATTCATCACGAACCTCATTGAAATCACCCATCAAAACACAATAACCTTGGAAAGAATTAATAAGCTGGAGAATATTATCCCAAAGAATTCTCTTACAATCAGCCACTTGCGGAGCATAAACCGCAATAAACATGACCGACAACCCCGAAGAAGACCATATCGCCTCAATAACAGTAAAATAATCAGAAATATGGGAGGATTTAAAAGAGATAGAATCCAAATCCCATAGAAGAAGAATACCACATGAAGCTCCATGAGAAGGAGAGAAAACAGAAGAAAAAGAATTATTACCCTAGAAAGAACGAGCCATACGAACATCAATAACTTCCATCTTCGTTTCATGAATTGCCAACAAATTAACCTTATGTTTAAGACACAAATTTATTACCCAAATCCGTTTATTTTTACAACCCTCTCCTTGTATATTAATGGAGAGACAATTCATCTCAACACCATTTTATCTCTATTCCCTTCAACAAGCTCTTTTACTCGGTCATAACACCCCTCCAAGTTATATCCCATTGCTTTTCCCATCACTAATGTTTTTTTTTTTTGGATCTCACTTAAGAAAGACCCTTTATTGTAAGAATTACTCAAACACCCATCTAAACTATTACAATTTGAAAAACCTGGAGGGTGAGTTAAATTATCCTCTGAATCTACAATACCCGATAACAGACCAAACCCTCCAGAAAACCCAATTGGAGCATTGTTGCATTCATCATTATTTCCTTGATTCGCGTAATGTATTGGGTGATCCATAACCAAGGTAGAAGAGGGATTTGGACTTGCTGTCGGGCTGCTTTCCTTTGCCGAAAGAGTTGTTGTCGGAACAATAACCATCGGCCCCTATTTTGATGGCTGAATAGTCTTCAATGGTTGATGGCGAGTGGCATTGTGACAACTCGAAATTTCCATTCTATACAAACATTATCACTTCAATAGAAGTTATAACAATCATAGTCGATTTTCAGACTTTTCGTATAAGTTGGAGTAATTTAGGGTTTACACTTCAGTAAACATCAGGAGAGTGGATGCACTACGGTTTGGTGCAACACTGTTATTCCAACACCCGGATATATTAGAAATCAATTCCAAAATAAAAATATTTTCTGCCAAAATATTTAAGGACTATAAATAGATTTCTGAACTAAATTCATTCATTATTCACATTTCCAACTAGAGAAAAGCAATTTTCTCTCTCACGGATCTTCGGGTTTTCATCCCAAGTTGTGAGTCTACTTTCCTAGATGTGTTTTAATGCTTGTTATATGCTTAATAACATTGTTTACATGTCAAATATGTAAGATCCGGGAGTTTACCGCCCAAGAACGTTCTTGGGGAGTAAACTCCAAAACGAAGCCTAAAGGTTATCTAGTCTCATTTCCTTGTTAGGTAACTAGTTAAGGACATTATGTATGATCATTTGAGGCTAGAACACAATCATGAACACATAGTTTAAGGAGTTCACGGCCCAAGAAAGTCTTAGGCCGTAAACTCCAAATTCAAGGGACAAAATGTGCCCTAATCACTCCTAAGGCTTTAAGACATTAACCCTCTATTACTTCTAGCTATTTTGGAGACTTAAACACATAAAAAACACCCCTTAAAGGGAGTTTACGGCCAAGGAACAACTCTTGGACCGTAAACTCCAAGTAAAGGCACCAAAGTGTGCCTAAGGTCCCTTTTAGCCTTAAACAAAAGTCTAGAAATTATCCTTTGTGTGCAAGAGGCTTAAATGAATTAAAACACCACCCCATAGGAGTTTACGGCCGTAAACTCTAGGGGATATGGTCTTTGGCCGTAAACTCCTCAAAGGAGCATTCTAGGCCCTAAACTACCTAAAGGATTAAACCACCAATGCTAGGCTTATTCTAAATCATTTAACACTTAAAACACCCAAAACCACCAAGACAAGAGTTCACGGCCGTAAACTCAAGGGTTTACGACCGTAAACTCCTTGTGTGGAGTTTATTGGTAGTAAACTCTTATACAAGGTCCTTGGAAGCATTAAACCCTTTTGCCTTGTCCATATAAACTTAGATGCAACCCTTAGGACCTATAACACTTATACAAAGTGTTTACATGTTCCTAAGTGTCCCAACTTATTTATTAAGTTATTATTGGCTAATTAGTTATATATATGCTCATTATATGATAACTAGGCTCGTGCGTGTGAACAAGTCTCCGTTTGCCACCTAGCACGGTATCCGATACTTCAATCCAATTCACTCACCACAAGTGAGTTCATACCCCTTTAATTAACCTTTGAAATGCTTTTAAATGTTTTAAATACTTTATGGGGGGATACAAGTTAAATACTTATAGTTATTACATCAATCACATGTGATTACATTAATCAGATGCGATTAATAACTAGAAAACCAATGATTTTATCACTGTTCAAACTGTTTATCAAACTGTTTCACTTCAAAATGTTTTGCAAACTCTTTTACTTATCAAATGCTATTATTAAACTTTGTTTTACTTCTTATAAATTGCATGCCCATAT